CATCTCTGTTGATCAAGAGCAATCGAAATAAAATGAGTCTCAGTTGATCGAGACTTGAAATCTAAGAGAAAAAATTTTAACCGGACTCTGATACTATGACAAAAGATATGTGAGAAAACTTATCTCTTGATCGATGATTAGATAGGGCTATATAAAGCCACTAGTTAGAAGACCTAATTACAAGATAAGTAAACTCCTTAATTACAGCCTATTAAATATTCACAAAATATATTACACGATATATATATAACACAACATTAATAAAATTGGAAATTATAGTTTGTGTGAAATTGCAATATTTTTATTCTATAATTTTTGTATGATGCTGCAAATAATCGAAAGTTTGTGAATTTATATAATGTAAATAATAATACTCATGTTTTCGTCCTAATTGACTCTTTCCTCCGCCTTGACATTTTTGAGGTGACACATTAATTTTTCGATGCGAGAAAAATGTGCATGCATCTTCTTGCTATGACTAAAATGACAAAAGTCAGCTAATTTTATGTACAATTAGAATTTTTTGGGTTTATATTTGATTGAAAGTCACACATGGTTGAAACAGGAAACGTTTTCCGGGAATTCAACATTTAACCTGTCGAGAGCAGTTGTAACTGACCGGATTGTGAAGTTCTCAAGTAAGGCAGTTGGACACTCTCAGTCTGCAATTCAATCTGGCTTTCAAAACGATGAAACAGATTATTTAACCAGAGTTGGTTTCAAGGTGAGATTCCAAATCTTTCCTCTCCACGTGTAGAACATCAAACAAAAGCATATATAAATGTATTAATATTGTCCAATTTTGTTTTTAGGCTTATTGGCTTAGGATTTTTTTTTTATTTCGTCTTTCTATGCTCNTTAATTTCAATATTCAAAATAGTCAGTTTTGGTCAACAAAATTTTTAAAATTACAATTTTCATAATTTATTAAGTAACTTATTCATTTTTTTTTTACTTTTTTAAACTTTATGCTATGTATTTTATTTTTATTGTAAATCAAATATTTGACATAGTGGTTTGGTAGGGACATCTCGTTTTCTCTTTTTTAATACCATATTTTAATAAATTATATTTACCCTATATTTGGTTTATATCGCTTACTTCATCATGTTGATATCCTATATTATATTTATAATTTTAAAAATTCTTACTTTTCAACTTGTGATATTTAAAAATTATCAATTAATTTTCATTTTTATTTTTATTTTTATAAGGTAATGTTTTGGCTATTATATCTTTTTCGCTTAAGTTAATAGTTTTCATAGTGACATGATACACGTACGACCTATTGTGTATCCTTGTATACAACTGTTTTTGTCTTAATACCATAAATATTTTAGATATAAGTTAAACAAAAACATAGAAAATATTATTACACGTTATATTCTTACGCCATTTTTTTTAAACTTAATTATGCCTAAATCAATCATTTTAAAAGGATTTTATTTGATATGTAAAAAATAAAAATATTATTAATTTTTTTACATTTGTTCGCAATCGACAACCTATATATGAAAATTAGAGACGAATGGTACAAATTTGTTAATCAATATCATTGATGTACTAATACTTCTCAACAAAGAATTCCATAATGGTCATTGGTTGTATTTGTTTTGTATTTTTGAAGAATTTTTTTAAGATTTTATAAATTCTAATGTATTTAATTGAGACTTTTAAAAGTTTGGAGGTATTCATTTGAGAGTTTAAAAAGTCTTACAAATCATGTGATATTTAACTTATTTGAGACTGATATTTATTATAACTTTTTAAGATTTGTTGAAATTTCAAAA